GTGCCAAAGACTTGGTGTAAATTCCTTACATCAATTCCACAAGTACTCAAGTGTGTGGGTTTTGATCCTAAATAATAATAATAATATTGACAAGGAAATCCCAGTGTGGTGGCTGAGAGGTATGGCGCGTGTCTGATGGTCACCAGGACCTTGGTTCGATGCTCTTCCATTTCCAGTGATTTTTATCAAAAATATTATTGAAACTATGGCATAATAAAATCACATTACTGTGCATTTATACCAACACCTGTACGCTTCAGTGAAAATAGTTTGCTTGTACTGAAAGGCTTCCATGGCTCTGTATCAACACCAAACTGGACTCGGACACAATTTAATATATTTAGGGGAAAAGGTTTAGATTTAAATTCTGGTTAGAAAACAAAAGCTGTTGATTTTTGAACATAATGGACGTGAGATTAATGGATTGTTTCGAGCGTAGGTTAAACATATATATATATCAATATATGTTTATATCAATAAGTTTTGGTGGATAAAAATAGGAGCTACCAAATATGAACCCCAAACATATGCAGTTTGCTGTATATATGTAAGACAACGGCATTTTAAAACCACATATTCCAGTTCTACATATTAACCTCTCTACCCCCTTCATATAGATTCCAGTCACCCGATACTTGTGGATTATCCTAAGAATCTACAAGGGAAAAAAATCAATGTCGATCGTGTGTTAACATCCCAATACGAGTCCAGAATTGTTTTAATCACATGCATCATATAGAGAACTGAAACCCTTTTAGACACTATAAAATACTTCCTTACTTTTGCTTGGTCTTGGAGGAGGAGGAGGAGGATGAAGAGGAGGATGAAGAGGAGGATGAAGAGGAGGATGAAGAGGAGGAGGAAGGGAAGAGGAAGAGGAGAGGAGGATCAAGGAATCATGATATACAGAGGACATATTTTCTGCCATTGATCGACGCTAAAAAGAAGAGATACGGGATCTAATCCCATTTAGACATCTATAATGGATTATATATATATTCACTCCTCCTATTATCAGCGTTATATAACATATATAGACAGAATTTGGGCCCCATTAACCCAAATTTAAATAGACGAGAGCTGGGCCAGTGTGACACTGTTCACACTATGGTCAGTGTGACACTGCTCACACTATGGTTAGTGTGACACTGCTCACACTATGGTCAGTGTGACACTGCTCACACTATGGTCAGTGTGACACTGTTCACACTATGGTCAGTGTGACACTGCTCACACTATGGTCAGTGTGACACTGCTCACACTATGGTCAGTGTGACACTGTTCACACTATGGTCAGTGTGACACTGCTCACACTATGGTCAGTGTGACACTGCTCACACTATGGTCAGTGTGACACTGCTCACACTATGGTCAGTGTGACACTGCTCACACTATGGTCAGTGTGACACTGCTCACACTATGGTCAGTGTGACACTGCTCACACTATGGTCAGTGTGACACTGCTCACACTATGGTCAGTGTGACACTGCTCACACTATGGTCAGTGTGACACTGCTCACACTATGGTCAGTGTGACACTGCTCACACTATGGTCAGTGTGACACTGCTCACACTATGGTCAGTGTGACACTGCTCACACTATGGTCAGTGTGACACTGTTCACACTATGGTCAGTGTGACACTGCTCACACTATGGTCAGTGTGACACTCCTCACACTATGGTCAGTGTGACACTGTTCACACTATGGTCAGTGTGACACTGCTCACACTATGGTCAGTGTGACACTCCTCACACTATGGTCAGTGTGACACTGCTCACACTATGGTCAGTGTGACACTGCTCACACTATGGTCAGTGTGACACTGCTCACACTATGGTCAGTGTGACACTGCTCACACTATGGTCAGTGTGACACTGCTCACACTATGGTCAGTGTGACACTGCTCACACTATGGTCAGTGTGACACTGCTCACACTATGGTCAGTGTGACACTGTTCACACTATGGTCAGTGTGACACTGCTCACACTATGGTCAGTGTGACACTGCTCACACTATGGTCAGTGTGACACTGCTCACACTATGGTCAGTGTGACACTGCTCACACTATGGTCAGTGTGACACTGCTCACACTATGGTCAGTGTGACACTGTTCACACTATGGTCAGTGTGACACTGCTCACACTATGGTCAGTGTGACACTGCTCACACTATGGTCAGTGTGACACTGTTCACACTATGGTCAGTGTGACACTGTTCACACTATGGTCAGTGTGACACTGCTCACACTATGGTCAGTGTGACACTGCTCACACTATGGTCAGTGTGACACTGCTCACACTATGGTCAGTGTGACACTGTTCACACTATGGTCAGTGTGACACTGCTCACACTATGGTCAGTGTGACACTGTTCACACTATGGTCAGTGTGACACTGTTCACACTATGGTCAGTGTGACACTGCTCACGCTATGGTCAGTGTGACACTGTTCACACTATGGTCAGTGTGACACTGCACACACTATGGTCAGTGTGACACTGCTCACGCTATGGTCAGTGTGACACTGCTCACACTATGGTCAGTGTGACACTGCTCACACTATGGTCAGTGTGACACTGTTCACACTATGGTCAGTGTGACACTGCTCACACTATGGTCAGTGTGACACTGTTCACACTATGGTCAGTGTGACACTGTTCACACTATGGTCAGTGTATTATAGTTCCAACATGGCATATCATAGTTCCAACATGACATATCATAGTTCCAACATGGCATATCATAGTTCCAACATGGCATCATAGTTCCAACATGGCATATCATAGTTCCAGCATGGCATCATAGTTCCAACATGGCATATCATAGTTCCAGCATGGCATCATAGTTCCAACATGGCATACCTGAGTTCCAACATGGCATCATAGTTCCAACATGGCATATCATAGTTCCAGCATGGCATCATAGTTCCAACATGGCATATCATAGTTCCAGCATGGCATCATAGTTCCAACATGGCATACCAGAGTTCCAACATGGCATCATAGTTCCAACATGGCATATCATAGTTCCAGCATGGCATCATAGTTCCAACATGGCATATCATAGTTCCAGCATGGCATCATAGTTCCAACATGGCATACCAGAGTTCCAACATGGCATCATAGTTCCAACATGGCATACCAGAGTTCCAACATGGCATCATAGTTCCAACATGGCATACCAGAGTTCCAACATGGCATCATAGTTCCAACATGGCCTACCAGAGTTCCAACATGGCATCATAGTTCCAACGTGGCATACCAGAGTTCCAACATGGCATCATAGTTCCAACATGGTGTAACATGGGCCAGCCTTTAACCTCTCTTAATCTGGTTAAATGCTGGTCGTTAGTTAACTATACCTAAGAAACCATAGTTCTTAGACTAAGATTTCGAGGCTTAGTGTCCCCTCGGCCCGGTCCTCGACCAGGCCTCCATCCCCAGGAAGTAGCCCGTGACAGCTGACTAACTCCAGGTACCTATTTACTGCTAGGTAACAGGGGATTCAGGGTGAAAGAAACTCTGCCCATTGTTTCTCGCCGGCGCCCGGGATCGAACCCGGGACCACAGGATCACGCGTCCAGTGTTCTGTCCGCTCAGCCACCGGCTCCCTCAAACCTCTCCTTCATCAGTGTGGTTTAAATCAAAACACAAAGAGGTTATGTGAGGTTTTATATAATTGAGGTTGCTTGTAGGACTGCGTAGGGCGCCTACCCCAAAGCCTGGGATCTTGAACACAACAAAAGAATATAAACAATGTATCTATTTTAATATATAAAATATAATATATTTAATGTATAATAATATACGCTGGGGAAATTCCACTAAACACTATATATTCTGAACAAAATTTATTAAAAATAAAAGATATAGATTTTACCAAGAGTGGACACTCCCTAAATGAACACTTCCTATCTGAAACCTTCTTATCTCTGAAGCAACATGGAGCCATCTGGACTAATACACTGTACAAAAACCACAAGAAGATTGATTGATTAATGAAGATTAAGCCACCCAAAAGGTGGCACGGGCATGAATAGCCCGTAAGTGGTGGCTCTTTTGAGTCATTACCAGTATCAAGAGCTGATACTGGAGATCTGTGGAGGTGCGACTGCACCCTGCGTGACGGGAGATGTCTCCCTCCAACCACAAGAAGTACACTTTTACCTTAAATACCAATTGTTCAGCCTGACCTCTGGAGGTAAGATCTTGACCCCAGGATGTCCCACACGACCTCACAACTGCTCTGACCTCTGTGAGGGTGACCTAAGCTTCCTCCGCCACCCTACCCACTGCCAGACTAGTAATCCGCACTAATTGACAACTAATCCTATTGAAACTGATGGTAATTACACTGGTACTTGTCTTATGTTAATATTAACTACAATATTGGATAGCAAATGGATTTCTCTAATTTGCATGAATTAGCAAACAATATGGAAGGTACTTTTTTTTCCTCTAACTGGGATGAGTCAGGCATCACTGTCCTGGCAAACTGTACTTGTCATCCAAGATGACTCGTATACACTTAGCGGACTAAGATTAGTTGACTCCTGACTCTAAATGACGTTAAATTGCCATAAGTACTTAAGCAAGATTGATTATTACTACAATTACAGTTATTATAGAATTCTTGTACATTGATGAATTAACCCAAAAGGGTGACATAGCTATTTTGTCTATACCCTCACCCCCCCCCCACTAATCCCTTAATCCTTGGGCAGAAACCTTTGCTACTGTTGCCCAGGCAAAAAATAGCCGCAGACCCCAAACTAGCTTGTGTTCTCTGGCAATATTATGTTCCAAGATCTATAAGCTTCTAAAACCAGCTTAACTTGTTACAACCCAAGTAAATTTACTAGTAAATTTAAGTAAACCTTAAGTAAACCTTAAGGGCAAGTAAATTTAATAAACTTTGTTTGTTAATAACATTAAAACATGAGGTTTATTATCCTAGTCCTTTACTTAATATTCCAACATGGCATATTGTAGTTCCAACATGGCATATCATAGTTCCAACATGGCATATCATAGTTCCAACATGGCATATTGTAGTTCCAACATGGCATATCATAGTTCCAACATGGCATATTATAGTTCCAACATGGCATATCATAGTTCCAACATGGCATATTGTAGTTCCAACATGGCATATTGTAGTTCCAACATGGCATATCATAGTTCCAACATGGCATATTGTAGTTCCAACATGGCATATCATAGTTCCAACATGGCATATTGTAGTTCCAACATGGCATATCATAGTTCCAACATGGCATATCATAGTTCCAACATGGCATATGATAGTTCCAACATGGCATATCACAGTTCCAACATGGCATATGATAGTTCCAACATGGCATATTATAGGTCCAACATGGCATATTATAGTTCCAACATGGCATATTATAGTTCCAACATGGCATATTATAGTTCCAACATGGCATATCATAGTTCCAACATGGCATATCATAGTTCCAACATGACATATCATAGTTCCAATATGGCATATTATAGTTCCAACATGGCATATTATAGTTCCAACATGGCATATCATAGTTCCAACATGACATATCATAGTTCCAACATGGCATATCATAGTTTCAACATGGCATATTATAGTTCCAACATGGCATATTATAGTTCCAACATGGCATATTATAGTTCCAATATGGCATATTATAGTTCCAACATGGCATATTATAGTTCCAACATGGCATATGATAGTTCCAACATGGCATACCATAGTTCCATGGCATATGATAGTTCCAACATGGCATATGATAGTTCCAACATGGCATATCACAGTTCCAACATGGCATATCATAGTTCCAACATAGCATATCATAGTTCCAACATAGCATATCATAGTTCCAACATGGCATATCATAGTTCCAACATAGCATATCATAGTTCCAACATGGCATACCATAGTTCCAACATGGCATATCACAGTTCCAACATGGCATATCATAGTTCCAACATGGCATATCATAGTTCCAACATGGCATATCATAGTTCCAACATGGCATATCATAGTTCCAACATGGCATATCATAGTTCCAACATGGCATATTATAGTTCCAACATGGCATATCATAGTTCCAACATGGCATATCATAGTTCCAACATGGCATATCATAGTTCCAACATGGCATATCATCGTTCCAACATGGCATATCATCGTTCCAACATAGCATATCATAGTTCCAACATAGCATATCATAGTTCCAACATGGCATATCATAGTTCCAACATGGCATGTCATAGTTCCAACATGGCATATCATAGTTCCAACATGGCATATCATAGTTCCAACATGGCATATCACAGTTCCAACATGGCATATGATAGTTCCAACATGGCATATCATAGTTCCAACATGGCATATCATAGTTCCAACATGGCATATCATAGTTCCAACATGGCATATCATAGTTCCAACATGGCATATCATAGTTCCAACATGGCATATCATAGTTCCAACATGGCATATCATAGTTCCAACATGGCATATCATAGTTCCAACATGGCATATCATAGTTCCAACATGGCATATCATAGTTCCAACATGGCATATCATCGTTCCAACATGGCATATCATCGTTCCAACATGGCATATCATAGTTCCAACATAGCATATCATAGTTCCAACATGGCATATTATAGTTCCAACATGGCATATCATAGTTCCAACATGGCATATCATAGTTCCAACATAGCATATCATAGTTCCAACATGGCATATCATAGTTCCAACATGGCATATCATAGTTCCAACATAGCATATCATAGTTCCAACATGGCATATTATAGTTCCAACATAGCATATCATAGTTCCAACATGGCATATTATAGTTCCAACATGGCATATCATAGTTCCAACATGGCATATCATCGTTCCAATAAGGCATGCAATTAGCGAAGCTTTCAGGTAGGAAGCAGCATATCAGAAGGAACATTTACATATAGAAGATAAAGGCCTACATTTTGATAAAAAAAAATACGACTGGAGTCGAAAATTGGATAAGGAGATTATAGAAACAATACTGGAAGCCCCCCCCCCCCTTCCACCAATGTGTAGCCAGGAGCAGGCACCATTAAAACCCACAATCCACACTAGGGATTCAAAGATTGCGTTGTTATTACGCTGTAATAACGTAATCCAGGTCGTTAAAGTAACGGAGATACGCTGTTGGCCGGCCGGAGGCACGGGGTCCCCTCCTCGACGGCGTTAGCCTCTCACAACAGCTCCGAATTTCCGGAATGATCAAAGACTTGGTAGCGGAAGTGAGGGACGGTGAGGGGAAGGGAGAGGGGAAGTGAGGGGGAAGGGAGAGGGGAAGTTATGAGGAACGGGAGAGAGAGAGAGAGGGGGAAGCGAAAGAGGTAAGAGTAGGATTTAACAGGATGAAGACAGGTGTCGACAAGAGAAGGAGAGTTGGGAAGGGGGAAAGGTGGAGCGCTGATTCACTCAGCCATCAGATCTACCTGATCTACTCAGCCCTCGTCTACTCATGATTATGAGTATAAACCATGAATAGCCAGAGCCACATAACTAGGCCCTACATGATGAAGGTCATTTGCCGTCGTTACATCGAACGACTTAGCCTATTAGACCGCGTTTGTCTAATAAGCCTAATAGAAAAGCCTCGATTTTGCCTAATAGCACATAAACAGACCTATTAGAGAAGTGCCCCCTGTTCAGCAATATATATATATTGTATTATCATATCTCAATGAAAATACACTTAATGAAAATGGAAAATACATCTTCAGAAGGTCACTTAATGAAAATAGTAATTGATGTGATTGTATAACTCATACATTTCGGCCTACTTGTGGAAGAGGCCTGGTCGAGGACAGGGCCGCGGGGACGCTAAGCCCCGAAATCATCGCGAGGTAAAGTATTTCCAGTTTTGTTAGACTGAGTTTACGTATACTAAGAAAATTTCTGTTTGATCATGTCGCTCTTTTGGTAAAAAATTAAAAAAAAAGAACTAGACATGTATATTACAGGAATCATGAATCATGTTTTATTTATTGGTTTATTAAATCAATCATAATTTAACATGATGGAAAATGTAAGCCTCAGGTAATCACAGAGGACATGACTTGTAAACTCAGAGGAACATGACTTGTAAACTCACATAGGACATGACTTGTAAATTCACAGAAGACATGACTTGTATACTCACAGAGGAACGTGACTTGTAAACTCACAGGAGAACATGACTTGTAAACTCACAGGAGAACGTGACTTGTAAACTCACAGGAGAACATGACTTGTAAACACACAGAGGCACATGACTTGTAAACTCACAGGAGAACAGTTCTTGTAAACTCACAGGAGAACATGACTTGTATACTCACAGAGGAACATGACTTGTAAACTCACAGGAGAACATGACTTGTAAACACACAGAAGCACATGACTTGTAAACTCACAGGAGAACAGTTCTTGTAAACTCACAGAGGAACATGACTTGTATACTCACAGGAGAACATGACTTGTAAACTCACAGAGGAACATGACTTGTAAACTCACAGGAGAACGTGACTTGTAAACTCACAGGAGAACATGACTTGTAAACACACAGAGGCACATGACTTGTAAACTCACAGGAGAACAGTTCTTGTAAACTCACAGGAGAACATGACTTGTATACTCACAGAGGAACATGACTTGTAAACTCACAGGAGAACATGACTTGTAAACACACAGAAGCACATGACTTGTAAACTCACAGGAGAACAGTTCTTGTAAACTCACAGAGGAACATGACTTGTATACTCACAGGAGAACATGACTTGTAAACTCACAGAGGAACATGACTTGTAAACTCACAGGAAAACATGACTTGTAAACACACAGAGGAACATGACTTGTAAACTCACAGAGGAACATGACTTGTAAACACACAGAGGAACATGACTTGTAAACACACAGAGGAACATGACTTGTAAACACACAGAGGAACATGACTTGTAAACTCACAGAGGAACATGACTTGTAAACTCACAGGAGAACGTGACTTGTAAACACACAGAGGAACATGACTTGTAAACTCACAGGAGAAAATAAATAAGACCTTGCCAAGGGTAGAGTACATAGAAGCATGGAGACAAGACATCATATGTAGCTGTGGGGAACATGAGTTGGTTCGAATCCCATGGATGCTTGAGACCATATGGTCGAGGAACTATATATATATATATATATATATATATATATATATATATATATATATATATATATATATATATATATATATGTGTGTGTGTCGTACCTAGTAGCCAGAACGCACTTCTCAGCCTACTATTCAAGGCCCGATTTGCCTAATAAGCCAAGTTTTCCTGAATTAATCTATTTTCTCTAATTTTTTTCTTAAGGAATGATAAAGCTACCCATTTCATTATGTATGAGGTCAATTTTTTTTTTATTGGAGTTAAAATTAACATAGATATATGACCGAACCTAACCAACCCTACCTAACCTAACCTATCTTTAGAGGCCAGGTTAGGTTAGGTAGCCGAAAAAGTTAGGTTAGGTTAAGTTAGGTAGGTTAGGTAGTCGAAAAACAATTAATTCATGAAAACTTGACTTATTAGGCAAATCGGGCCTTGCATATTAGGCAGAGAAGTGCGTTCTGGCTATTAGGTACGACACATATATATATATATGTCGTACCTAATAGCCAGAACGCACTTCTCAGCCTACTATTCAAGGCCCGATTTGCCTAATAAGCCAAGTTTTCATGAATTAATGTTTTTTCGTCTACCTAACCTACCTAACCTAACCTAACCTAGCTTTTTTTGGCTACCTAACCTAACCTTACCTATAAAGATAGGTTAGGTTAGGTTAGGTAGGGTTGGTTAGGTTCGGTCATATATCTACGTTAATTTTAACTCCAATAAAAAAAAAATTGACCTCATACATAGAGAAAAGGGTAGCTTTATCATTTCAAAATAAAAAAAATTATAGTAAATATATTAATTCAGGAAAACTTGGCTTATTAGGCAAATCGGGCCTTGAATAGTAGGCTGAGAAGTGAGTTCTGGCTACTAGGTACGACATATATATATATATATATATATATATATATATATATATATATATATATATATATATATATATATATATATATATATATATATATATATATATATATATATATAATATAGGTCACCTAAGCATACTGAGGGCCTACTCCAGGATGCAACCCACAACAGCTCTCTATCTCCCAGGTGCCTATTTACTATGCCATCAGGTAATTGGAAACGTTTCCCCTTATCCCCGTCTCTATTTCAATGAAAAATTTACTTTTATTATATACAGTAAAATAAGAACAAAATAGTATAAAAAAATGGGCACCTGGTTTGATTTTTTGATTATGTTTTTGTCAGCACATCTCGACGGCCGTTTATGAGAACTTATAAATAATTCCGGACTCGGGGAAAAATAAATAAAAAAAATGACCAAAAACGTCAGAATCTTTTTTTGGGGAGAAAAAATGGTGTGAAATACAGAAAGTCCGTCGTAAATTTCGAACCTCTCGCGACCCGTCCCATTTTTCCTAATTAAAAGGTAATTACTATTGGTGGCTATGCCAAGGCGGAGCCGGGGAGGCGGAGCCCCGGCGGGGAAAGGCTTGACGTCAAGATGGCGGAGCAGGTGGCTGAGTGATGCATCAAACAAAATTAAAATATTTTCAGATTTATCAGTTCTTCGCGAAGGTTAGCGCGTCACGTGTGTGTGTGTGTGTGTGTGTGTGTGTGTGTGTGTGTGTGTGTGTGTGTGTGTTGGCCGGGTGTTGAGTGAACAGGTATACCGAACTCCCTCTCAACCGGACTAGTGTAAGGGAACTCCTAGAGTGCCACCACCCCCCGTATCCGTCACCCAGCACCGGTAATTTATTGAGCTCCGAAACGATATATAAGCGGAAACCGCCTTCGTCTGCAGCTTGGCGGGATTACACCGGTCGTTCTCGCATGTTTGGCTTGGCCCTCGGGCCGGCGGAGAGAGCCGGAGTCGTGCCGCCCTCATCCCAGTTTTCACAAATCAGCCCAGATGACAGCCGCTGGGTGATGTAGAAACTGTAACTCATCTATATTATCCCTTCGCCTCGTCTTAAGAATTCTTAGATGAAGTACTTGAAAAAAAAAATTACCGAGTCATACTGAAGGCGTAAATCAATGGCGCGGTAATTAAAAAGGAATTTGGCGTTAAGAAGCCGCGAGTATTTAGGAAGTGGTTGGGCACCATGTCTCCTCACAGAAACCGACGAGGAGGAGACTCAAGATACTTCACACGCGGTCTCCTGACGGAGTACAACACTAAATTATCACAAACACTTTACGCAAGACCCATGATATTTACAGCATCTTTGACCAATCAGAGAAATGTATCACTTTCAAACTTCCGGTCCTTATCAGTTGTTCCAGTTTTGGCGGGAAGTGACGACGTTCCCTCCCTGCCTCCTCCCTACCCCCTCCCTCATGCCCATGTGGAAGGGGGTGGGGGGAGATTAGAGGGAAAGGGAGGGGGGCTTGCACACCCAGAGGTCTGTTAAATGATGATTGGGGGGAAAGGGGGATGAGGGAGGGGGAGAGATTTTAGTCTTCATGAGACTTTTCCATTTCTAACGCGGTCGCTCAGGAAGGAAAAAGATGCGAGAGTAAGAGAGAGAAGACAGCGAGAGAGAGGGAGAGAGAGACAGAGAGGGAGACTGAGAGAAAGAGGGAGGGAGAAAGAGAGAGAGAGGGAGGCAGACGTGGTATAAGTTGTTACCGGGAATGAAATGATTATGAGCGTGTTATTTTCCTCGCCAGTGATATCTGTCTTTCCGCTCGGGCGAGCTGCCTGACGCGGCAACAATCTCGTACAAACATGGCGGGGCCTTTTTGGGCGGGAAGACCTAG